GCTGTCCTGAGATGTTTTATCAAGAAGGATGGGGTAAAAATGCTATAAAGAAAGAAAGAAAGAAAGAAAGAAAGAAAGAAAGAAAGAAAGAAAGGGAAAAGGCTACCCAGTATTAGATCTGTGTACGGAGGAGGAAACTAAGAAGGCCATGTATGTTATTGCCATTGCTGTTCATTGCATTTAAAGCCTAACATTCTGCTTCTTGTGAGGAACCCAAAGTGGCTTCCCAGGTTCTCCTCCTCTCTATTTTGTCCTCCCAACAGCAACCCTGCGAGGGAGGTTAGGCTGAAGGGCAGTGACAGGCCCAAAGCTACCCAGCGACCTCTTTCTTTCTTTCTTTCTTTCTTTCTTTCTTTCTTTCTTTCTTTCTGTTCTGCGAAAGTAATGTTCTTTTCCGTGCTGCAAGGGAAAAGGGGAATAGCTCTGGTGGAATTAATAACCAGCATGATCTTTAATTACAGGACATGTGCTGCAGACGCCTGGAGAGAGCTACAATTACCCATCTGACAGAAATAGTCATGTCGCACTTCAGACAGGCAAGCTACTGTTTCACCTCTGCGTGCACTGATTGGCCACCTCAAGGTGGCTGCCAGAACATGTAAGGCACCGCACTGGCCTGCGCACCATTTAAAACAGAGGAGTGGGGGCAGAATGTGTCTAGTGCCCATCACCTCATTGATTCAGGAGATGGCTTTGCCAAAACGCTCCGCTGCAGAGGACACATGGAATTCATAATTCCATCCACTCGGTTGCTGCCGGGTGCCTAGTCGCGGGGAGGCCACAAACAACACAATATTCGCTTCCTGCCTGGGTAATGCTGTTAACCGCACAAGACAGAGAAGGCAGCCCTTCTCTTGCAGGAAAAGACAAGCCTCAATGAAAAGGGGACAGCCCTTCACCTCAGGCTGCATCTTTTCATTTAAAGCCTCCTCACACATCAGCCCCCATCGGTTCTTTGGCTGCTCTCCTCTGCTCAGTTCCATCCATCATGTGTTTATTCAGACAGGAAGCTCCTCAAACAAGCATTCTGTCAAGCCTGCTATTACGGCTCGGGCCAGTCACAAGCTCTGTGTCTAAAATATCAGATGCTGCCAAAGCTCAAAGGCCTGACTTGTTCCTATCTAGGCAAAGAGTTTAGCTGGAATCACACTGGATGCATGGCCCATAAACAAGAGGCAAGAATTAAGAGACTCCCAAGCTGGAAAGAAATGCGAGAAAGGAGGCATTGCATCATGAAAAAGCAAGAGGACACAAAAGACATGCTTGACTCACTGTTTCCTCCTGAGGATCACAGGGGCAAGCAGGAGAGCCATAAATGAACCATCAGTCTATCAGACGGTTTCAGTAGAACACAGATGCTTTTATACGTGTGTGTGTGTGTGGGGGGGTGGTGTCATCTCAGACAAGGAGGGGGACAGCATCAACATTGAAAGTGTTCATGAAGATCATCTCTGAACAACCTGTGTACATAAAGGGAGCCACTAGTGTATATGGATTTTAGTGTGGCCTTATCCCAATGAGATGTGTGCACAAACACACAACCCTTTATTCCAAAAAGGGGCTGCTTTATTAAACACACAAGAATGGAAAATGTATACAAGAATTATTTTGGTAGAAGTTTTGAGAATTTGTATGAGATTAGAAGAATCCAGAATGGATTCTAAGTGCAACAAATCGTGATTGTGTAGAAAAGGTAGTAATTGTTGAGTTGCAGGGATTTTCCTTAAATATTTGGTGTTCTAGGTAACATTTGTTCAAGAACCCTTGGTGTTTCTTTGTAACTTTTATGTGTATTCTTATTTTTTAATCAAATTTTACTGTTATTAAAAAAAGAAAAATAGAATTATTTTGGGAATTAGCTGGTTGGCAATAGGCACCATATAAATTCTGTTTAAAAGACATGTATGGATATTTAAGAGGTTAAGGGAATTACCTATCCCCTTTATTTTACAGGTCTATTCTTTATCATATATTGTTTTGGATGTTTTTAATTTGCAAATTGGAATTATTCTATATTTTATTGCACTTTTATGTAATTTGCACGGAGAGCTTTATCTATTGGGTGGTCTTGGAATGAAATAATAATAATACTGTAATGGACATAATCAGCTCATCCCATACCACAAATAAACCTATTCATGCTAAGACTACAAGAAAGAAAACAGAAAGGGATACTGTAGATCTTAATGTACAGGATTCAAAGACCTGCTCAGTGTCTTAACTGAGGGCTATTGTGCATGAAAGTCAGACATGCACAACAGTTCTCAGGTTGGATGGGCTGGACAGATGATGGTTCTGAGGCTCTCTGGAAGAAGAGAGAGAGAAAGAAAAAAAGTAAAAAACGGGGGATGACAAGGGGGCCTATGCAGTTAGTACACATTTCTGAATGCACATTAGAAGAAGCACACAATAGAGGAAGTAGGAAAGAGGCTGAAGGCCATGATTTGTAGGGAAAGAACCTTCAGATAATAGAATGGGGCTTGAAAAACACCATCCCAGAGATCCTGTTCGATCGTTTCTAGAAGGAATGGTCAGTGTGCAGTTGCCATGATAAAGAGTATCTTAGAAAGGGTTGGGACTGGGTCTCAGGCTGGATATGGGACATTGGTGCCCAGAACCAGGGTTCTGCACAGAAAAAGTCTGGCAAGTCTCTGTGCAAGAATCCGAGCGTGTATAGCTTGAAGGAATTTGACCTGGTGAATGAGAACTAATGGATAAGCCAGCAAAATGCTTCTCATGCAGTGAGAAAGAGTGAGATCTTGAATAACGGAGCTTGAATGTATAGTACCAGACCTTGGAAGTGTGAATTCAGTGAAGTAGCCTTTTCTCCCATCCTACTGGAGGAGGCCTTCAGCCTTGCCTGTACTTTAGATGCCAAGACATGCTTCTCAATCTGGCAGTATTGTGTCAGACAAAATACTGGGGCAGAGTGTTGTGCAGGCTTCCATCCTGCTAGGGATGCAAGTACAAGCAACCTCAAACTTGTCAAAGTTCTCTGAATTCCACCCACAACCTGGTTCCATGCCTGTCCATACCAGATTGTGAGTTTGTTTTGTTCTCTTTTGTTTTCTACAGGAACATTAATGCATAGTTTGTATTTTTCAAAAAGTGCACATCAATTGTGTGCATCTTCAAAATGTACACATTTTCCCATTGACTGTGTACTTTCAAGGGTGCATATTTTTCTTGCACTTTTCAAATATACATGAGCTACTGAACACGTTCTTTTGCATCTACAAATAACACTGCAAGCTTGGACACGTTTGGATTTTGACTGCATTTTGTGTGCAGGTTGGCATTCTGTAGGGACAGATGTGAGCTAGGTTAAATGTGATGTGAGCTGGGTAAATCCCGATCAAAAGCAATCTGAAACCTATTTGTCATGCATTCTTACAGTCTGTTAAAAACTGGCCTTGCTGCACTGTTTTCCCACTCTGCTCTTCAGAAGCCCATTAATGTAAGCTCCATTAACCTAATGGATAAAAATACAGAACGCAAATTCCACTTTGGGGTGTTAATGTCCTTTTGCAATGAAAACAACACACCTTAGAAACACAATTTGTAGATGGTGGCTAGTGCATCTCCAATTAAACTTAATGTTTCTGAAGTGGATTCAGCTCCTCACACACCTCATCAACAATTCTGTTCCCTGCTCATCTCCACTTCTGCCTCTGTTGAGTGGAATCAAGTGGCCAGGCCAGATAGATTATATAAGAAAGAATAATCCAAATGGACTCTGGTAGAATTTCTTCTTCACTTTTTCGTGTCTACTGGCAGTCTTCTGGGCTAGCATCAGCAGCATCTGCCGGAGGACACCTTTAACAGAGGACTGTCCTTTGCCAACTCTCCAAAATAAGGGACTGTCTTCTCCAGAGCAGGATACTTGGCTAACCTAGCTGCTGGTCCCAAACTCACTAACTCCAGAACTCATGAAGAGCTTATTCATGAGTCCAATTTACCCACAGACTATTGCAATCCTGTCACTCTTCTTAATATGTGCTCAGAGATCATTCTAAATAATGAATGATGCAAAGCACGTACCTTTGCTGGAGTAGATGAACCTCTGGTCTGATCCAGCATGGCTTTTCTTATGTTCTTAACCCTGAAGTTACAAAAGAAATCCTCCGCTCCCAAACACACACAAAAAACATCGGCAGAGGGCCTGAATCCTTTTGGAATGCAGATCATTTTTGATATGATGGATGAGCTGACTGCTCAGGGCTTTTCTTTCCAGCTGAGGAAAATGTGCCCTTGATACCCTGAGTCGCAGGAAGGATGGGAGGTCCTCAAATGCAGAATTCTCAAAGGCTCAAGAAGGGACTGAGAGGGTAGAGGAACCGGGATGCTGTGGGAACCGCAGGCGTGCACGGCAGTGGAGGGGCCTGCACCTTGCTGCTTTTTGCCACCCTATTTCATTTCAGGAAGCGCCTTTGGCAATCACTAAGCTACAAGTACCACAGGAAGGAAGCTGATCTTTAAAAAAGGTGAAATGACTTCTCCCCGGAGGAATGCCTTTAATTCATGCTCTGCTCTGTTTCTGTCCTGGGGCTCTCACTGCTACAGGCTATAAAAGTTACACCTGTTGCCTGCCTTTCCCCCTTCAAAGAGCAACTCTCTGTGGAATACAGAAGATGCTGCTGCTGCTGCTATGTGTCTTGCTGCCAAAGGTAGTTCCCCTGAGGCAACTGTTCACCTTCCCACAGCTGTACTTAAAACCCGCAGAGCTTGAAGCACAGAGCTGGGTCCCGGTGTCCATTTGCCATTTAGAAAGCAACTGCACAGAGGCAGCACTGAAAAGTTGAAGACTGATGAACTCTGTTGGCATTGCAGGGATGAGAGGCTGGTGGCGGTGGCAGTGGTTGCGGTGTGTGTAAGTGTCCTAGGATGGAAATGACAAAAATTCAGGTACTAGGAAAAGAGAAGTCAAAAGTCTAGAACTGACATTCTCTAAGACAGAAGTGACTGTTGAATGTAACAACAAAAATACTCCAAGCCATATGTTGAAAGGGAAAGATTTATGCTTCCCTCCCCAGTGGCCATAATTTCCTTTCCTTCTTTTCTTCCTGCTGACAATGCTTGTCGAATGCCCTGGGAGAAAAAGAGAAGGCAAAAAAGAAGTGCATGCAACAGTAAAAGGAGCCTGGGGCAATTTGGTGGAGAAGAGGGGAAATATTTGGAGAGAAGATGCAGGCAAGTCCAGGCTAGTTTATGAATACTTTAGGACTCACCCCCTTGGTTCCCCTCACCTCTTACAGCAGTCCTCTCCAACATGCTGTGCCCCAGATGTTGGGACTATAACTTTCAGGATTCCTGACTGGTGGCCATGCTCAGTGGGATTCTTGAAAGACCAAAATCTCTGGAGAGCACCAGGTTGAAGAAGGCTGGCTCGAAGAGTGCAGGCTGCAGAACATTGATAGCCAGCCCTCTCACTGATGGCGCAACTCCAGAGCACCCTTTAGACTGATAACCCCGCTGGCATGTCCACCTATCCATGTTGAAAGAAGATGGGAGGCTGACTGAGCAGCCTTTGGGAAAATGAACAATCAGCAATGGAAAATGCTGAGATGCTAATCCTCAGCGAGTCTCCATTTATACAGGGTTGCCAGGTTGAGAGCAGTGATTAAGCCCATTGGCATTGTCTGGGGGTTAAGTAACAGCAAACAGAGGTGAAGCTTAACACACAAGGCAGCCTTGCTAATAGGAGACCTATAATAACCTCATGCTTTTAAGGGGGCACATGATAGTTACAGTCACCAAAGGGAAAAATACCATTTGCCATGCCTGAGTTTACCAATGAGCTGATGGGAAAGAGGTCTGTCTGAAAACCTAGGAAACTGGTCTGAATGGAATAGGGGTGCACAGAATGCAAATCTCCAGATGTTTTAGACTTCACTTCCCATCAATGGCCATGCTGCAGCATGTTCTGGGACTTGAAGTCCAAAACATATGCCTCCTCCTACAATAGGCAATAGAATTAGGCTCAACATGTTCCCTACTAAAACTCCCAGCCAGTATGATCGATGATCAGGGAAGATGGGAGCTGAGGTTCAAGAAGACCGGTAGATCCAAGGTTTGGAAAATCTGGGCTGGATAGACCAGTGGTCTTATTCAGCATAAGGCAGCTCCATATATTCCTACCCCTACTGCAAATGGATACTAAGCAGTTACATTTGGGACTGAGACTAGCAGATTTCATGTCTGAGCTGGTCTTGAGAAGAATTTTTCATTGACTTTCCCAACCTGATCCTCTGCAGATGTTTGAGACAACAATTACAATATTTCTGACTACATGTAGTCCCTGGGTTATGGACATCTGAGTTACAAACAACCCATTCTTATGAACCAACTGCCATAAAGCCTATTAGTTTTTTTAAAAAATTACTGTGGAAAATCATTATCACCATAGAGAGAGAAGAAGCAAAAGGAGAGAGAGGGAGGCTCCCAAAGCATCACCAGAGAGAGGGAAAGAGAGAGAGAGAGGAAGTGAAAGAGTAGAGAGGGAAGCGTCCAAAGCATGCCTTCCTTCCCTGCCCATCCAGAGAGGGAAATATTCTGGCATCTTTTCAGTAAAGATGAGTTAGGGCAGGTTAAAGATATTTGCAGTTTTGCATTTTCACAGGGTTCCTATGCCCCCAGCCCCCACAAATGTGGAGGGCTCATTACACGTGATCTGACTTACATACAAATTCAATGTAAAGAGAAATTTCCATTTTCTCAGGAACTGAACTCATTCATTACACAGGGACTGCCTGCATTGGTCATGCTAGTTAAAGCAAACAGGAGCTGAAATTCAAAACAATGAGATCACCAGGTTGAAGAAGACTGACTGATTATATTATATTTTCATTATGCCCTAGTGCACGGGTGAGGAGAAGGTGTATCTCCAGTTACTTCAATTCCAAGAAGCCCCTGCCAGCATATGAATAGTCAGGAATTCAGGGACTTGTTGAAATCCAGAACATCAGGAGATCTTTCTACAATCTACTGCATTTGTAGGGACCCCAATCAGCTTAAAACTAAAACTGTTAGGCATCTTGAGAATTCTGGATAAAGTACTAAAATAGTTAATCCTGCTTAATCCTTCTTCTGCATCCAGGTGGACATGGTCTCCTCATACCTTTATTCTAGTGTGTTGAATCTAAGCGGGGCCTCTAATTCTCTGGATTCTGCTGCGGGATCAAAGGTAATTGCCAACAACTTGAATAGGGCTCAGAAACGAATAGCCAGCAAGAGCAGTTTCCCACAAACTGGATCTCTTTGTCAGCTCTCCACAACTGAAAAGTTTAGATAATATTTAACAAAATTTCTTACAGGTGTTTGACACTTTCCTTGCCCAAAACTGAGTTAAATGATTGCTGCTTTGGGATTATTTTCAATACTACTTTTCTTTGGATCAGAGGTAGGCAATTTACAGACTAAAATATCTGATAGGTCGGAATTCCTGTCATCCATTACTATTGAAAATGTTGACTTGGGTTGACTGGGATTGCAGGTCAAAACTTCTAGAAGGCCACAAAATGCCTAACACCAGAATAGATTGAAGGCTTTCTGGTTAAAGTACTTTGTGGAAAACCCCCAAGTTCAATGTGATATTTCCCATTAGGACTCAGGATGGCCTATTTTATCAGTCTCAAGACAACTCAAGCCAATGACTAGAAAGTTGCCAGGTGCAAGTTACTGATAATAAGCTAAATGCTGCCTTGGGGCTATCTCAGAGAAGAGCGAAAACTTCTCTTAAGTGTTTTCCTCTTAAGTTGTAAAAGAAAAGTGAAATTCATTTAACGACAGTAACACAGCTCAAAAAAGTTGATCTGACAGCAATTTTTCAGCAGAATGTTTTATTTTAATTCTGAGAGATCCCTGTGGTGAAACATATGTCAGAGAACAAATTATGCAGAAGAGTGGTCTGCTCTGGAAATCAATGAATGCACAATAGCTTTTCTACATGTCCAGTTATGTTCATCCAGCAAACAGGCAGTTGATGCTTTGCTAATGGGCTCTCAGTTGGATATGGATTTGATAACTAATTATGAATATGTCTTGGGGTAACTTAATATGGATTCCTTAATTCAGGTTTGCTAGGGCAGATATAACATCAAAAGTGTTTAGAGATATTGGTTGCAAATACGCCATGCTGAAAAGCTAGTTCTGCGTTTGTGTGCATTTGCACAGACAGGCACAAGTGAAAGATGTCTAAAAAAAGATAAACACACATGTGCAACATTGCCTACTTTGTAGTGATTATGTATGTTCAAAAGAAATTATATAAGATTCGTGGAGAATAAGGTAGAACTATGGTGAGCACTTTCATGGGGAAAGAAAATTTTCAGATCATAGGACAGGTTTCAGCGCAGCTGTAGCTCTGTCCCTCTCCTGGAACCGGGCACAGTGCTGGCCCTTCACACCCCCATTGTGGAGGGTGCAAAATGGAAAGTAGGCTGACACCAAAGTCATTGCCACCAAAGTTACATCCCATACACATAAAAGTAGTACATGAGTAGTGTTGTGAGCCGCCCCTAGGCTTTGTTGCGATGGGGGCGGCATAAAAATGGTTTAAATAAATAAATAAATAAAATGTTTAAGCAGAATAAAAGAGCCAGCAGTCAACCCCACCTTTGAGAAATTGTTGGAGATTTTTTTCCTTCCCCTGGAGAAGTTTTGTGTCATAGTCTTTTCAATTTTTCTGCTCAGAAACAGACTAGAGAACTTTGAAAAGCTGTTTGTGAACAGCTTTATTTAAAATACAGACATCTCACTGGTGAATAATAAATGCATCTGAGATATTAAAGTTGCTCCTTGCTTGATTTGTATGAAGCAGATAACATCTCTAGATGACAACCAATAACTCTACCAGGAGATTTCAATCAGGAGAACTTAAATATATACAGATTTTTTTAAAACCTACCGAGATTCTACTGATACACTGTATTCTACTGAAAAGAAGAATAGGAAGAGTTGCCAGATTGTGGCAGTAGTATGCCAAATTTATGTCTAAGATTGCATGATAAAACATGAGATTATTCAATGGCTTAAAAAAACAAAAACAAACTTATCTTTGAAATGTAAGAATTCTACTTATCCCTTTTCTATTTATCCCTTAAGGTGTCCAAACTAAAAGGCCGAGCTCAAAACATTACAACTTATTAAAAAAAAAACAAACCCAACCACAATGGATATGATAAATGGATAATGCTTGTTTGTGTGAGAAGAGGTTCGTAATGTCTGCTTTTGATCATATGGAATGTAAAGTACAAAGAAGTGAGGCCCAGGGATTTTAACCTGAGTAGATGGATTTTTGAATATTTGCACTTTAGTATTTGGGCCCCTTGGTCAGGACTACTAAAAAATAGATTCATGCCTGGAAAAAAAGAGGCAAGGTTTTCTTTTACTGTTCGTATCCATGTGCAGGATTAAACATACATATAGGTGATCCAACACAGAATGGCAGATTTCTCTTCCTGTACTCCACCCCAAACTGGAGGCAAGCAACTGGCTCTTATGAGATTGCATATCACCATACACACAATTCATAATGAATGTTCGGAATTCACTGAAACAAAATACGTGCATGGCCTAGACGACTTAGATGGCTTGAACAAATTCATAGGGAATAGATGCTCTACCGTTGATCTGAACCTCAGCTTCAGACTCTGCTAAGCAGCAACAGTGGGAGATGGAGGTGGAGGAGGAGCCTTGCTGTGTAGGCTTCCCAAATTCAATTGGTCTGCCTACCTGGGAAAGAGGGAGCTGCTCTAGATGGCCATTCAGTTTGATCCAGAAGACTTTGATGATCTTACGGTCTTAAGACAAAGAATAGGACTGATTTGGGCATGCTGAAGAAATCTGCTAACATTGCTAGATACCATGCTGAATTGTTGCATGACAGATCAAGCACAGATCAAGAGTAGCCGCTGAAAGCCAACTTTAGTGCAACTTGTCTACTAATGGAACATGTCTTTAGATGCTTATTGTGCCTATGATTGACCTGCCCACACTGTAGAAGGCACATGGTGAGGCTTGTTGATACGCCATTTTAGAATGGATGGTATGTTCACCTATGTGTGGTGAACACATACATTGTACATAATGACAACTTTACATGTTACTCTACATTGTGAATGTAGCAAAAGTGTGTTTTGATGCTTTAGTATTTCCCTTTCCCTGCCCTGTGTCACCTGAAAGACATGGGAGATCTTAGATCCTAGGATCAGTCAAAAGAAGCAAGTTCACCGAAGGAAAGTCTCTTACCACCTCTCCTTATTGCAATTGTTTGTCCCTTCTAGTAGTGGAGATGTGTGCACAACCTCAAATGATTTTTCCTTCTATCAGCACCCCACCCTGTTGTTTGGAGGTTTCTATGAACTTTCATTCGCTCACTTATAGTAGCAACCAGGCCACACACATGGCGCCGCTTAAGTTTGTAGGTAAACACAAGGGACTGTGGCATGGAGCTACCTTCTCCAAAGAGTCAAGCAGTCAAAGAAAGAAGAAAAGGAAATTATGAGAAAGGTTTTGTTTGTTTTCTACTTATTTGAAGAGCGCATTGCACTTGCAAACTTACGAAATAGATAAGATAGTATTGTTGGGTACTTTTACAACACTTCCTTTGCTACGTTTCATTCATCATATCACTATGAAAGCCATTTACATATTCCTTACATTTTCAGTATATCATGCAACTATGTACGCTAGAAGGTTACCTAAAAGAGAGGAAAAGAAAGAAGGGTAGTGTAAACTTCTCACTTTCTCCTGCCTGATCACCAGAAAACAAGTTCTCAGATTTCCAATAAGCTGGACTTGGATGAAGGAAAGATCTGTGAACTGATATCCTAAGACTTATTTAAGTTAGAACATAGATTCAAACCTTGCCAAGGAATGGGATGATCCAGCTAGTTTGCAGTGGATGCACGAAGAATGGGTAATCTCACATTCAACCCTTACTACCTTAGTCTCTTCCTCCCCTCCCTCTGCCATCTTCCTCTTTGCCAAGTTTATATTACAAGATCCTTTTGGCAGATTCCACTCTAATTCTCACTTATGGAACTTTGTAAAGTGCCATGTACACTGAGTGAATAATAATAATGTGAATTATTCACTCTGGATCTGCTACCACATTGTCTAATTCTTTGTGGCTGATTTCTACTCTTTCTCATACTTGTAATATGATCTCTGGCTTAAAATCTACTTCAGTCACCCTGTTGGAAACCTACAGCAACTTCTCAAGGACTCACTCAGAATCGACAAACATCAGAGCAGAAAGTGGTGTGTCTGTCTGTCTAATTAATTGCCCGCCCAAACCTCTCTGGACTAAGTTCTTTCCTGGTATAACTTTTCAGCAAAGCAGATGGAATTCTGGAAACAGGAAATACAGCCCCTTCCCCTCGTTTTTCTGTCATTCCACGGCAGCATGCCTCTTTCGCCAAGGTTCTGAGAACAAAAATGCATTGTGGCTAAATATAGACTGACAGTTTGGGGCTTGGCTCTCATGTTACATGGAGACAGTTCCCTGTCTGTATATTATTGAGGTAGTAAAGTCCCAGGGGAGGGAGGGAGGGGGAAAGGCAACAAACTACAGAATAACTTAGCTTCCTTATCAAAAATTAAAAGAATATTAAAAATGCAGTTAATGTCTAGTTTCAGGTACAATTTTCTATAAAAAAGAATCCATTACCGTTAACATGAAGCTGATCTCTACAAATGTCTGTTGTGTTTGGACTCTTTCCTTGACTTACACACACACACACACACACTTTCATTCTGTCTGCCTGTTTCTCACTCACATTCATAAATACAAAAGAAAGGAGTAAGCTTATGTCTGAAGTACGCACATTAGAAAGAAGATCTCTCTAGAGAGAAACATCTGTTTTAAAGGACCCACCTCCCCAAAAAAAGATTTTGCATTAAACTTAACAGTTGCTGTTTGAACACCAGGGTGCAGGGAAAGAGATGTACTCACATGGAGCAGATGTTGTACTGTTATGGGGAGTCATCCTTTTTGCATTCAAAAAGGCCCCCCTTTTGTACTGACACGCTTGCTTTCTTGTCCGTAATCCAGAGGTGGATGAAGCAGAACAGCTGGAGAAAGCAGCTCTTGTTCAGATGCTTCTTGCCTGGTTCTTGACCATTTACCACTGGAAAAGGAAACAGCCCATGTGTCATTCCTCTTGGCCTCTCCAGCTCACATGCAGAGGGGAGGGGCACCAGTCTGCAGATAAGCATGAACTGTTTTTTGCATTTCGTTTCCTTTCCCATCCCACAGCCATCTAGGACCTTTCCACACTGAACAAGCAACAAGTTAAGACAAATGCATCATTATTTTAACTCTGTAGAAAAGTGTATTTCATACAGCAACATATACCAGAATATAATATAAGGACAATTGTGAACTTAAGAAAGAAAAACTGTTGCTCTTTCGAAATCAGAGAGGGGACAACTTAACAAAAGGATTTTAAAAAATGCTGCAGGAGGCTTTGACACGAAAACTTCTTTCCCACTTTCAGCAGGGGGATAGACAAGTGTGATACATATGAGTGTGTGTGTGTGTGTGTGTGTGTGTGTGTTTCAGTGGGTGGAATGTCATGTGAATGAAGCTTTGTTGATCGTGTTTGCACTCACATGCTCCACTCTTGCTCATCAGCTAATTTGCATACAGTTGTGGCCCTAGCTAAATAGAGTTCTGTCGTGTTTCAGGAATTATTTGTCCAGACAGGCAAAAGTTGTCTAAGAACAGTGGTATAATTAATTAAGAGCTGAGCCATGAATTCGAAATTTCTTGATTCTAAAATTTTCTGTGCCAAGAAGTCAGATGGCAGCAGACAAGCCACAGTCTCTCTGTCCTTCCCTCCCAACAGAACTATGTTCATAACAGTAACCTGCCTTACAAGATTGTTGTAAGGATCACATGCAACATTTTGCACAAATAGAAACACAGAAACAGAGCAAGTCAGGAGGGGTCTCCTGGACCATCTAGTCTGACCCTCAGCTCCAGCCGGCTCTGCTCATGACATGCTTATGATGTGCATGTCCAGCCAATCCTTGAACACCCTCACCAATGGGGTTTCAAATGAGCTCCAGCAGCCAGGACAATTATTCTTACATCACAATGAGTTTCTCAAGCCATTTACAGCTCTGTTAACAGTATTGCTAGACTCCAGTTCCTCTCGCAAAGGAAAATTAGATCTATTTACATTTAAGAAATGCCACAATTACCAGATGTCCTGTCCTTTGCCAGGAGAAAGATGGGGGAGCGCGACCCTATTGGTTCTCCTGGCTCTTGAAACCATTGACCATGGTATCCTTCTGGATAGGATGACTGTGTTGGGAGTTGGAGGCATTGCTTTGCCATGGTCCCGCTCCTGCTTGACTGGCCAATTCCAGAAGGTGTTGCTGGGGGATTATTGCTATACATCATGGCATTTATGCCATGGAGTACCACAGGGCTCTATTTCATCCCCCATGCTATTTAACATCTACATGAAACCACTGGGGAAGTTTCTCCAGATGTGTGAGCTGAGATATCTTCAGTATGCTGATGACACTTAGCTGTACCTCTCCTTTTAATGTAATCCAAGTGAGGCAGTCTGGGCACAATAGTGGATTTGATGAGGGCCAATAAATTGAAACTTAGTCCAGATAAGACCGAGGTGCTGGTGGGGGATCTTCTATCCAGATGAATGACATTAAACTTGTCCTGGGTGGGGTTGCACTCCCCCTAAAGGACAAGGTTCATAATTTGGGGGTGCTTCTGGATCCTGAAATACTGCTGGTGTTTTAGGTGGATTTGGTTGCACAGAGCACCTTCTATTGTTTTAAACTGATTTACCAGTTATGACCCTATCTGGACAGACAGAACTGGTAACTTCTCATCTCAATTACTGAAGAAGGCCCAGAAACTCCAACTGGCCCAGAATAGGGCAAAGAGGCTGCTGGTGAGGACTGGCCAATATGAACATATAATGCCAGTCATCTATCAACTTCATAGCTTACCAACTGAAGTACAAATCTGATTCAAAGTGTTAACATTAATATTTAAATCCCTGAATGGCTTGGGACCAAAGTTATCTAAAGAAGTGCTTGCTCCCGTATGTGCCTTCCCTCGTCATCTGAGCTCCTTCTCAGATAATCCCCCAATGGAGGAAATTAAGAGGGTGGCTATAAGGAGAAGGGCCTTTCAGTGGTGGCACCCCAACATTGGAATCAGCTCTCCAAAAAGGTTTACCTGGTGCCCTGTCTCCAGGTGCAGACTGTTTTTATTTGCCCAGTACTGAAGTACTTTTAAGAATTATATGGCATTCATTGTATTTAATGCCTAGACACTCAACCATAGGCCTAGCCACTTTAGTAACTGCTCCTGCACAACTTAATTTTATCCATAATTTTATTCATCATTAATATTGCATGATTTAAAAATATTTTATGGTCCCTATTTTTTTAAAAAATATATATTTTATACACATTTTATATTGTTTCAGTGAATTTTATGCAATAATGCTGCATTCTGCTATGCAATATGAAATAAATAAAATAACTGTGCCCTTGGCTTAATTTTAATTGTGCTTTTGTGGAGTTTTATTGTGGGATTTTCCTATGTTTTATTGCTATTTTACTGTTGTAAGCATTTATGTCAGATTTAATGTTATTGCGTTATTGTGTATGTTATTATTATATCCCTGTAAGCCACCTAGATAGTCATTCTGGCTAATGGACAGGGTGGAAATTTAATAAGTTAGTAAGTAAGTAAAATAAATGTTGCCACTGTATGGGATAAAAGTATTCCCACCATGAAAGATGATTTGCGGTAATATTCCTGTAATCCATCTTTTATACCTTTTCTGACACTGGTTTATGTAGACACCTCGAGGGGACATTTAGACAGAAAACAGCCTATAACAGCCAGCATGCCCCCCCACCCCATCTAAACATACATCGGGTTCTGTTTATAGTTAAATTTTGTTTTCTTTAGTTCTCTTCCAGTAATCTTAACTGATTGGTCTCTTCTGTGCACTTCCCCTGCATTATCATTTAGACATCCAAATTCTCTGATAGGAAGAATGTATGAATTCTATTCTTACATTCTATTCTTACATGTATGAATTCTATTCTTATGCATTCCACCAAGGAACTCAGAATGGAAAACACAATTCTCTCCCTCATTCGTTTTATTCTTACAGCAATCTTGCATGGTAGGTTCCTGCTTTGCATGCAATGAGAAGTCTCAAAACCCCAAAATAGCCACATTTTCTGGATGGGTTGTCAACCATCCCATTAACCTATCATTGCTAGATTTGTACAGCTTGCCATGTCCCAAGTGTTAAAAATGGTGTCCATCACCTTAGTGAAAGGCCCCATAGGGAAACTGACCCGCAGTGGGTTCTCACCAGGTCACTGTAACCAGGTCACTATATCCGTGTTGACTTTCATAATCTTACTGTTAAAGGAGGTATTAAAGTCTGCCATCAACTTTTTTGCTCTGCATTGGGAGACACCTTGTTTAGATGCTTCAGGGTATTCATCAAAATCTGGGCAGCAACTGGCAGTCCTTCCAAAGTGCCATTTCGACATTGGTGGCATGGTAGTCACTAGCAAGTTGAGTAAGTGAAGAGCAGAGGCATTTCTGCTGCTCTTGCTGAGCAGCTCTACAGCTGATTGTGGCATCCCATGCTAAAATTGGCCACAGGCTCAGATGACAAAGTGGGCAAGAAACTTGACTTGTTCCTGAAAAATAAGCCACTCCATAGAAAATGCCCCAGGTTCAGATGATACAAAAGCTCATGGTGGTGGGCTGTGCATGGTGAATGTTGATGTTCAAAGATCTGGCTGTATTGTATTTGCATGGCATTTGAAAGGGTGCACCAAGGGTGCAGAACCTCAGGCCTGTGGGTCAGCCCTCTTTAATATCCATTTTACATCTTCTCCTCAAAAATGGACTACAAGCCATTGGACACGTCTAGCACATCTATCCACCACACTCTTCCATTGTATACTTACCCACAACTCCTTCAGATTTGGGGACAACATATATCTTCAATTTATAGACATTACTGTGGCTATTGTTATCACATCTTCTTCATTTCTGACTAAGAACAACAGTTTCTCACTTCCTAACTTGCAAAACATCTTTTCTACCTAATATTATTGACAGCATCTTTATTACCCAGACTCATGGACAGGTGGCCCTGACAATGTTCCACCATAACTTCAGTAGCTTTTACTCTACCATCAGCCTAAGCTGGGAAACTTTCCATGCAACAGGTCCTTTTTTCTGGATACATCAGTGTTACTCTATAATGGACATATAGAAAGGGCGCTGCAACCCACAAAACATCCATCCATCCTTCCAGCTTCCATCCAGAACATAGCAGAAAAACTTTACAGCCAGCCCTTATGATAAAATCACACCTGCTCAGAATAATAAGGCAGGGAGACACAGTTTCAAATCTAGATTAGCCATATCTCATACTATGATACCTACCCAATGAAGTATCCAATATTTCAAGTTGATACCTACCCAATACTTACCCACATGCAGTAAACATCCACCATCTAATCCTGCAGCTACTTACTTCACTCCATGAACATTTATTTTTGTTCTGCGACTGCTTACCTTACTTTATGTCCTTTCATCCTGGTCCTGCAAATATTTGCTAATATTGTTTCAGGGTCTTTTTGCCTTATCCTGTAGCTACTTATAACAATTCTCAAGAAGTGAGCCTGACTGCACAGTTACTGATTTGAGTGCTGTAATGAAGGTTAACAGAGTTCACAGTAGCTGTCTTTTTTATGACCACATCATTATTTGGGTGGTAAATAGGAGAAAGGACATGTACCCATTTGTGACAACCACTTACCACGTATCATCAGTGATTTGCAACCCAAGCCAGACCATGGTACTTCCTTTTTTGTAGGTCAATGCTGGTAGAACACTTGTATTCGCTTACAGACAGCCACTGTTTACAAAAGGGTTATTGGGGAAATCATAAAGGTCCTGGTAAGATGTCGGTACATTGCCCTAAACAGCCAAAGCATCAGTATGCTATTTCTGGTATGAAAGATGAGAGAGAAGTGAGCTAAAACTTCCCTATAGATAGAAATTCACCATTTTTAAAGTTCTGCTCTGCTTTGCGTAACACAGAACATGAAATGTTGGAGCAGG